CTTGAAAAGACGTTCCACTCTGATAAGTTTCTCTCTGAGTTTCAGTGTCTATCTTGTAACGCATTATATTGATGCGATTAATTTTATGGACAAGTAAATCAGTCAGGTGTTGTTATTATTACGTGTAGTATGGATATTATTGTCTTTTACGTTTATTATACCTATACATATTTTACTATATATTTTAAACATATAATAAAATTGTAAATGATCGCTGTTTGTATATGGAAGATGTTTGAGAAAAACTATTATTGGGGGGTCTTTACTAATGCAATAAAACCCAAACCATTGATTTTTAGAATTTTTATCTGTCTGTACGCGTGTGCGCGCTAATCTCAGACACTGCTTAACCGATTTGGGTGCGGTTTTCACTAATGTATTGTTGGTTGGTTTATAAATAAAAAAGTTATGTCAATTTAAAGAAACACCTAGGGACGAATCCAAGCAAAGCGAGGGTGAGTCATTAATTTATTAAATCAACTAATGAAATAAATGTACGAGTAGAGTATTTAAGCATTAAATTGTTAAAGTGAATAAGATTATATTTAGAATAAAATAGAAATAACTATAAACATTCTGTCGTTATTTTATTATTAGATGCAGTATTCAATAACAAATTAATGTAGTACCTAGTATGGTAAAACTTAGTTTCGCAAGAACATTGCATTAGAATGTATCAAATAATAGCGGATATAAACTTGAATAACTTCACCCAGAAACCTGAGTCATTCCGTTTGTAGGAAATAACGGTTCCATTTGTACCTTATCTGTATTTATGTTCATTGCACTTTAATATTGGACTTATCACATCGTACAGGTGCTGGTGTACCTGGAATACTTTATTATTGCGCTTTAATCATAGATAACGTCGTATTATTTGTTAAAATTTGATTTCAATATATAAATATTTGAAATACTAAATTATAGTACCAGAAAATACTAAACACCACATAAATATTAACTTGTAAATTGTGCTTGTAAATTAAGTGTTACTGCATAAAGCTATAAAAAAATAAAATGATAACTTAAACAGGTCTAGTCAAGTACACAGAAGTCATTTTAAAATAAAGAGGAAAAAGCCATGCCAAATTCGTCGACGGTAAAAATATTGCAAAGGAGACCGAAGCATTCCAGGAACCACATTTACGCCAGCAGTATCTCCGAGCCAACAGTCTCCTTGTTGTTAAGCTATTCTATACCTTCTCTACGTTTTACATAAAAGCTATTTTAGTTTGTTATATCAAACAGAAGAATAGAGCGTTGGCCTGTCGAGAATGTTTGCCGCTGACCTAAGTGGTCAATAATGATCTGTTATACACTTTATACAAGGTACCTTCCTTACTGTTTCGTGATAAAGTTCGTAAAGAAATATGTATTCGCTCCCCCTTCTATTATTTCGTTTTAGAATATTGTTTAGCTCGAATCAAATACACATTACATTTTATAGAAGTCATGAATTAAATGCAATTAACTATGATAGGATAAAAATTAAAGGCTGATTTTTTTTTAAATTTTGAAATTAAATATTTATTTTTTATATACATATATCTTATGTATATCTATACGTATAAAATTTTAACTTAGTCGAAAAGAAATAGCCATGATTATCGATACAACGGCCGAATCTATATTTTTTAGAAAAATTTGTCTGTCTGTCTGAGAACGCAACACGAGAAAACCACTGGACAGATTTTGATGATTTTTTTACTGTGGGAAAATATCTCATCTCTGAGAAATCTATACTAACCGTTAAAGCAGAGCTAGGATGAATCGCTAGTAACTTATAAATTAGAAACATGGTTAATTTAAATGAATTGTAAGATTTGAATAGTAATAGCGTTTATGTTAATGTTAATTTTGCCAAGTTGAGCAAAGTTTTACATCATTAAGCTTTAAAATGCGGTACAGGTGGTATCTCGGGCATGGCTAATATTATTATTAAACGAAGCCGTTGCTGTGCTTACCGTTTCAAGTAATTAAAACGGCATCGTCGGCGAACTTCATTATCAGGCTTTATCAGTGCACGGCGAACAGTTATTCTACTAAAATATGATCTTTGATTTGTTGAGTTTGTCTCCGGCACTAATAGCAGAATAACATTCAAAACATCGGAAAAATGCACGAAAAAAATACATGGCCTAACGCGCGCTGGTTAATAACTATTTACATCTATTTAAAACGTAGGTATCAAGAGACGCACGCATCTGAGCTAAGCGAGAACAAGTCACTAGTGACACATAAATTGGCTTTTGAATGTGTTTACCATTAATAATAATTACATCTATACTTTTTATGAAATTCCTTTTTTGAAGAGTAAAATCTAAACAAGACTTACCGGCTCTAATTCGCAACTGCTACTCGGGCGTTCTGCGTTTTGGGTTGCCGCACCTTTATTGTTTTCGACCTCTATTTCACCTGCGCTGCATATATGTATCTGTTTTTTATTAATAACGAATACAGGAATACATCATAATTATCACAGCGTGTATAAAATCTTCTTAAACAATAAAATAAAATGATCTGAAGTCTTTAAAAATTAACATTAGTTGCACAAAGTTACGTCTTATATTTGTACTATTTTTAATATTTGTTAATTATCCTTATAATAACATTATGTATATTTCTAAATATCGTCACGTATACAAATGGAGAATAATTGATATATATTTTGAATTGATATTCTCAATTATCTTTGTATTAACTAATAGCCCAGTTAAGGTTGCCTTACATTACGTTTAATTAAAATCATAGTTAGGACACCCTGTTGGACTTTGAGCGAGTGTAGAGAGATCTCTGGTGTTTTGTAGAGCCATAACTTGAGATAGATGTGAATCATTCAGGAATAAAATGAAAGGTTGTATTTTTGACGTAGTGTCTCGAGATGCTTACTTGCTTTACTTTAATAAAAAGAAGCGTCTCATTTATTTAGGGGACTAAATATTACGCTCGATTCATTTGAAAATTTATTTTTATTATCATGGCTCTGGGTTAACCGATATTGTTTCTTTTAATTAAAGTTTAACAAGATTATGTCGGATTTTGTTTCGTCATCGCGTAAATTGTAAAAATATGTTCAAATAAGGAACGAATATTTTTTATGGGGGGACATCTTTACACATATAAGTTTAGAGATAGCATCTATACGTAGGTATGCCTATAAGTGGGCAACCTCTAGTAACCTGACTTCTTACCCTGAGTGATCCATCCTAGCTAGTGAGACTAGTTTCGTTAAAAAATATATAATATATTTTATTTTAAAATTTAAAAATTACATATAAATAACACATAATATATTAACTTATTAATTAATTATTACATATTAACGTTTTATTAAAATCTAATTTATGTATAATTCATTAATATGTATAAATTACCTACTCGTAGGTACCTAATTTATATTCATTGTACATATGTTATTTTCTTGTTTCCTTTAACCCGTATGTATTTAATATTAGCAAATTCAATATATCTTAAGCAATTTTGTACTCATTATAGAAACTGCAAAGAGTAAGAATATAAATGTTCGTACAGTTTAATAATGCTAGTGCAGCTTACACTCGCTTCGCTCGGGTTCGCCTCGAGAAAAAATGAAAACTAATCTATCCCACGGGAACCGTATATTTTTATTTTTGATTAAAAGTTATGTGCTATTCCAGACTTATAATCTATTTCTGTGCCACCAATTTCATCCAGATCCGTTAAGCCGTTCGGGCGTGAAAGAGTAACAAACATTTGAACATCCATTTAAACTTACATTTATAATATTAGTAAGATATACTCGTAGTTCAGTTAATATAGATAAGGATTTAACTATAAATCTTGAAAGGCAAGTTTTTTTTTTAATAAAAGTCAATAAACAATTTAAAAATAACTAATACGCGTTTCAAATGTTGCGTGGGTGTTTCCCATGCCTTGTCGAGGCATTTGCTATTTATAGAAGATGATCAGGAGCAAAGGTAACTCAAGTTATTTTGTACTACTCTGTCAAGGTGTTTTATTTTAATTTCTTAACTATTATTATTTGAAAGGGCTTTAATTTAATGTTTCATTTCATCTCAGAAAGACTTACGTCAAAATAGTATTCACAGTTCCTAAATATAGGAGCCCCGGTTGTAATTTTGCTTTAACACTCGACTAGAAGGATAAAAACGGTCCGTCTTTACCTACTTATGTAATAAAAAATAATATATAATCTAAACGCAACAAAACATTAATCCAAATATTTTACAGAACATAATTCTTCCTAAATTACACTTTGAAAATTGTTTATTTACACTATGATATATTTATAGACAAATTAAAGAAAGTTAAGTTAGGGGTCATTGATTCAACGACAGGATTGCTTTACCAATCATACTTCTACGTTGCGCCTCGGCTTATCCTATTTCCTTGGTCACGTGTCTCCAAATGTGCGTGGGTTTCCCAAGTCGGCTTAACCTACAAATGTGCGTCATGATACTCAACGACAGTGACGTTACTGGTGTTTAACCCTTAACCACCTACCACCTGTTTCCGTCCTTTAACCACCTACGTACGGTCCTGGAGACTGCTCTTAGATTATTACCTTAAATTCGGGATCTACGGTAATAACTAAATATAAGAACGAATAAAAATCTCGTTAACACTCTAAAGCTTTATTTAAGATAGATCTAATACCTAATATTTTTAAAATCTTCCCAAATTAACAATTTTTGCATAAAAACATAACTGAGCTAATAAAACGAGATCTATATAATTAGAAACTTGAAATTTCGATTTCTTGATCTCTAAACAAATTAGTAGGTACTTACATATATGCAAGGTACCTACCAATTTGTTTTATATTACAATACAATAGTAAGCTGTCTTGCGTTTTTTTGGGTCACATTTCACAAGTGTTATGTTTTGCGCACTTCCAAGTTTCTCTACATCAGATGTACACGGTAAATCTTCATTTATCTGTAGAATACGATGAATAGCGTATATTACGAAAAAACTCGTTTTATACCCGCCCTTTGCTATATGAATTTGTGTTGCGGTGTTCTTGCACGAGAAACGTTGAGTATAGAAATAGATGCCCAACGAAAACTATTAGCAGCAAAGTAATTTTTCTTTCTGGGCGTACTTGCAGATTTTAAAGGTGAACTGAGGATATCATCATCTGAAATGTTATTCTCATGCGGTGTCCTAGATAAAGATCTGGACCTTGAACAAACTTTACCCGACGATTCAGCTTGAAACGAACTGTTTTTTGTCGTTTCATTAACCTCAAATTCAGAATTGGATTCACAGTCTTCAACCTGCACAATATCTTCAGTAAAATCAGATTCTTTGTCACTATAATCCTCGTTTCGCATGTCTTTTTCATTTGATAACTCTTGCTGCAACCATCTTTCAATATTTTCATCATTTTGATTCATTTTAACGTTAAAACAATAAAACTAAATGAATAAAAAAAATGACATATACCTAACCTGACCTACGTGCGGTCTCGAAGACCGATGACAGTAGAAAAGGTAAAAGGACGCACTCTGTCGCACAATAGTGATAATAATGCCTCCCTACCGATTTCGGCCACGGCGGTTAATCTCATTGAGACCTGCTATTTGTGCAGGAGATATTATAGTGCATAAGTGTACGCGTCGACACAAGTGCACTCTCTATTCATGTAACTCATTCTCCGGTGAGACGACTACTCGGCACGACCAATAAGAGTTAAGGAGCAGGACCTCCAGATATACGTGATCTCCAAAGCACTAGGGCGAAACACCGCCAACTTCCCAACTCCGGGCTGTTACTGAGGCTTACTAAACAGAAATACTTAATAACTCACTAACAGGACCTCCGGATGTGCAGCTATATATGCTAGCCACCAAGACAATTATCGCACAATACGCACACATTGAAATATTTAAATTTAAAAAGTCGTTGCGGTCTCTGAGACTGAGGTAGGTGGTTAAGGGTTAATTAGGCTGTGTTAAATACATGCCCTTTGTTGGTGACAAGACTTATCACACGATACTTAAAACCGAAAAACTTATACAATGCTACAAACAAGCTACATACAATATTTATTATAATTTTATCAATAAAGACAGTATTCTATGTAACATGCTTAAGTTATAATTCGTCTACCGTAAAGGAGACCGAGTTTGCTGAAGATTTTAACTGCATCTTTTAAGCTAATGTTTGACTCTCCTAGCAATTTTAGACACATTGTAAAGGACAATGCATATTTTATGTACAATAAAGACATCTTTTGGATTTTTAAGACATTCTATAATTTAAAATTACGTACTATTTGTTATAAATATTGTGCAATATACGATCAACAGGAAAGTAATCTGCGGTCACAAATTTCTAGAAAATTCAATAAAACACACCTTCAATTAATTTTATATTGCAGTGCTATTTCCCAGAACGGGGTTGTACACTCACCGGCCGCGGCAGCGGGTTATCAGTGACTATTATTGTTTACTTACCGTAGCGTTCCAACAAAAGCGAAATCGTATTTTTTACTTTTCTTTAACCAAACCGCTTTGTTTTTGTATTCGTACAGCTAATTTGCTCGCCGATAGCTTATTTAACCATTAATATAGAATTTTAGACAAGAATTCGAGAATTTAAACTGCTTATTCGTTACACAAATTGTAACAAATGAGCATTTTTTGTGTCTTTCAATATAATAAATATATGAAGGTTACTTAGTATAATAATTAATGGAACAACTAAAATAAGTAAATATCGGTAAAACAGCTAAAATAAATACGAGGTTATCAGTAACGTATTAAACGGAATACAACGCTGACTGGTCAAAACAAATTAAATGAAGCCAAACTTTTAAAAGATGGACACAAAATCCAGGACCTTACATGTAGTAATTGAAGAGTTCTACTATTCAACTCATGATGCCCCATCATCAGATTAGCTTCACGATATTTTTGTATTGGCTTCCGAATGACAAAGTTTTATATTCATATTACCTTCTTGATTACTTTACATTAAATAAAACTATTTTTATACCGGGAGAGTTCATTATTGTTGTATAGCATTCGATACGTAAGATACCAAAAATCTAAATAGATTTGTGAAAAAATCCGAAAAGTTAGTTTTATTTAAAATGTTAAATATTCGCGCAAATCTAAGAAAGTGTTAGTTCACTTTAATTCATATTACTGCTATGACAGCGCCATAAATATATTTTACTTTAATATTTAGGTAAATAAATCGCCACAAAAGCATGATGGCGTAGCTTTGTTTCTAATTCTTAATAAATTTATATTATATTAAAAAAAATCTGTTATAAATTCACCACCGTTCAATCGAAATATTCAAACGCACAAAATACAATAATTCTCGTATGTTCAATTTAATGCAATGTGGCGTAGTTGATGTGCGCCTTTGATTCGCGACAGCTATCATAACAAGCTTTGATTTAAAAAAGTCTTTAAAGTGTAAAGAGCACAGTAAAAATATACCTACCATTGATTTTTTCGATTCAAAGCGCATTCCCTTATTAATTAATCACTCACAGTACATATCATATTTATTGCACACTAGAGACTCACCTTCGCTCCGCTCGGGTTTGCCTCTAGAAAAACCAAAAACAAATCTATCCCTCGGGAACCGTATATTTTTTCGAGATAAAAAGTAGCCTACGTGTTATTCCAGACTATAATCTATCTCTGTGCCAAATTTCATCCAGATCCGTTTAGCCGTTCTGGCGTGAAAGAGTATCTAACAAACATCCATACTCACAAACTTTCACATTTATAATATTAGTAAATATATATGACTTGTAATATCATGTCAATAAATACTGAAATAAATAATAATAGACGTAATAGAAAGTCGTAATAATCCATACTAATATTATAAATGTGAAAGCGTGTTTGTTTGTTTGTTTCTTTGTTTGTTTGTTTGTTTGTTTGTTTGTTTGTTTGTCCTTCTTTCAGGTTGAAACGAAGCGACGGATTGACGTGATTTTTTGTTTGGATATAGTTGCAGAGTGACATAGTCTACTTTTTATCGCGGGAGATTGTCTCATTCCCACGGGAAAACACATTATAATATAAACCAAAAAATTTTTTATTATCTAAATTACTTGAAACTTGGTATTAATGCTCTTCAATAAAATTATATAAATACGAGATTTAGCATTTTTCAAAATTCATCCCATAAAGGGGTAAAATAGGGGATGAGTTTTAGAGCGAGCGAAGCCGCGGGTTCTGCTAGTAATATATAAAACTTACTACTAGCTACTTATAGTCAACAACGTTATTCAATCAACAAAATAAATGTTGGGACCACAAAATTTGCAAAAAAAAGATTTGACTGATTGCAGGATGCGAACTCCTAAATAACTATTAAATATTTTGTGTCTAGTCTATCTGTTTGGAAGCGCTAACCTTCAGATCGGCTGAGTCTGTTTTAATAGGGTTTTACTGGCGGATAGAAGCCATTTTTAATAGCTTCACTTGTAACTTAACCTGCTTCTTATTGTCATATCGATTTGAAACTTAGTAAGTATGTGAAATCCGGATTACAATTTAATAATTTGATACGTTGGGGCTGTTTTGATGATATAACCATGAGGTGATATAGTGGGACTTTTCTATTTGCTACAGAAAGCTTTATTTTGGTTTTGAGCTATAATTATCTATTCTAATAATATTATAAAGAGGAAAAAATTGTTTTTTTATTTGTTTGTTTGTATCGAATTGGCTCCGAAACTACTGAACCGATTTAGATGAAATTTGTTAAGAAGATAGTTTTAGACCCTGGGAAGGACATAGGATAATTTTTATCCCGGAAATCATCCCTTAAGGGGTTGAAAGTTTGTATGGGGAAGCAACCTAGGGACGAACCCTAGCGAAGCGAGGGTGAGTCGCTAGTATGTCATAATTACATTGGAGTGCATTTTTGTATTATAAAGCAGAAATGTGATAAACTGTTAAAAGGTCTATCCTAATACATAATTTCAGTATGTTTAAGGACATGGGATCGTAGTCGTAATTATGCACAATGAGAGCCTTCTGACCTTTCAACGGGTCGCTTTTACAGGTCAAGCGCGACCTTTGTACGTATAAATATATAGTCATGGGCACAAGTCATTCTTATTGCGTACAAATTAAAGTTCAATTTAGAATGAAATAATTTAATGTTTTTAGTAGCCCGACGTATGGTAAACCTCACACAATGCATTATTAATATTTTTATAAAACCACCACAACCTTCTAATCTAGACGGAATTTAAGCGCATTCCGCAAACTTTGGGAATATACTAATTTTAGTTTTGTTTACACGGGCTTTAATGCTAGTACAAACTGCTCTTTAATTGCGAATAATATTGTAAAGTTATATAAATAACTCAAATAATTTCTTTCATTTGTAAGCACTAATTTATTGTTTTTTAATTATATATTTTTTTTGGTTTCAGGTAAGAACTGTGAATATTTTTACTTCGGATGTGAGTAAAATAAACTTGCTAAAATATAGGTAACTTGCTCAGCTTTTATACACTTTATAAAGCCAAGAAAAAAATACAATCGGTTTCTGAATCAGTTTACACGTTATTAAAGGCCTTATTATTATCCATAAAGAATGTACAAGCATACGTAAGAACACGATATGTATTATTAATATACAAACAAATAATATATCGTTATCATAACAAAACCGCTAGCAACAGACAACCTTATCGCAGTAAACGGTGATAGCCACATTTCTGGGGATAATTCGCTATCGAGAATCGAATACGGATTCTATTAACAAAGTATTGACGTGAATCATAACAGCTTATCGTAGGCGCCACTCCTTGTCTCGTACTTTGAAGTAGTGATGTGCAACAAACAATCTTTGAGATTAAATTCTTTTTATTTTTAATTGCTTGCATTTTATCTATTCACAGAATTAACTTACGTCATTTTATTTTATGCATATTTAAAGTTTGAAAACAGATATCTAGTTTTGAAAATAATATAAGAGCGTACTATAAATCTTAGTTGCTAGTAGCTAAAATTTTGTTCTAAAAAGAAGCAATGCGTCAACATCACTCTTTTGAATATCATTGGTGGTAAACGCGACTTTCTGTGGTAAAGTATAAAAATATAAAATATGTAACTTTTATTTAAAATGTCATTTAATGATATAAATTAATCTGTTGTAATGGAATTTGAATTCGTATTGTTTTAAAATTCCGTATGAACTTGTTAAAGGTTCTACAATCTACAAATCTTTCTATGGGGATGGACGTAAGGTGTGCACTTTATATTTAGAACCGGAATATTGATATTGTGCCGATAAATAAACGAGGTAGTATGTCACGAATACATTTCGTGATGTTTGAAGTGCACCTGTAATCGTTGATCTTTTGTTAACTGGTTCTTTTCATCACTTATACAGACGCGGAAGTAAACAA